CTTTTATGGTGCTGCCGATGTCACATTCTCTCTCTTTATATATATATATATATATATATCTATATATAATAAGCCACAATGCAACTAAGCCACAATGCAACTATCATTGTAACTATCTTGTTAGCTTTCAACCAAAATGCTAACAAGATTTTTAGTTACATAATTATTATTTAGTTAAATAATAAATATGTCATTGTATGAGCTATTTATTACTTATTCCTTTTGAATTTGTTAATCTAATTTTGATCTGACACATAGTTTACGAAAGTAAATTAGATTTTGAGAAAAAACATTAAGTGATACTTGAAGTTGTTCCAGATTTTCAAAAAGACACCTTAACTTTGCGTGCGTCCTATTACCCCACAAAACATTCAAAATCACAATAAATACACATTTTTTACACAATATTTCCACTTTGGACAAAAATATCCTTCGAATGTGCAATTTCTTAAAAACAAAAAGTCGGATCCATTATTGATGTATTGAAGGATGCTTTGGTAATTTCCTATGATGAATTCGTTTTGTTTGTTTCTTTTAAATTTATTTTACTATACTAAATAATTGTATAAAATATTATGAATCACGATAATTAATTACTTAAATATTTAAAACATATAAAAATATATAAAAGATCTGATTGACTCTTCAAATTTTACCGGTGACACATAAATTGGGACAAATGAAATAATATATATTATTTGAAAATTTCTTAGAAAATACTATAAATTACAGTAATTAACAGCTAGAAATATTTCAAAGACAAAAAAAATTGATTGAATCTCAAATTTTTTTTAGTACTACATAAATTGAGAAAGAAGAAATGACCTTTATTATTTGAAAATGGCGTAAAAGTATTACAAATCATACAATAAGAATTAACAATTTAAAATTTTAAAAGACTTTAATGCTTTATACTTATTCTATTTCCACTTTGGACAAAAATATCCTCCCAATATGCATATTTTTTAAAACAAAAAGTGGGACCCATTATTGATGTATTGAAGGATGGTTTGGTAATTTTCCTATAATGAATTCGTTTTCTTTGTTGTTTAATTTTTTTTAAATAATTGTATAAAATATTATAAATCACAATAATTATTTACTTAAATATTCAAAAGATATAAAAATATGTAAAAGATCTGATTAACTCTTCAAATTTTATCGGTGACACATAAATTGAACAAATTAAATAATATATATTATTTGAAAATTACTTAGAAAGTACAATAATTTACAGTAATTAACAATAGAATATTTTAAAGACAAAAAAAATTGATTGAATCTCGAAATTTTATTAGTACCACATAAATTGAGAAAGAAGAAATAACCTTTATTTTTTCAAAATTGCGTAAAAGATATTACAAATCATACAACAATAATTAGCAATTTAGAATGTTAAAAGACATAAATTTTTTCTTACCATAGTTAACAATAATTACAAATTTAAACTATTTTAAATTAATATTAATGTTTGATTAACTCTTTAATTTTGTCTTTGTCACATAAATTGAAACAAAAAATGATACATATTGGGCCCGTGTTAGCACGGGCTCCGATGTCTAGTATATATATATACACGAAATCTTTGCTTTAGGTTTACAAATGCAAACACAACAGTTTTTTTTTTTTTTTTTTAATCTTTGTTTTAGGGCTTTTAACGGAAACACGACAGGGATTTTTTTTTCATGGCTGACTTTTAAATAAATATAGTAATAATATTTTTAAATGAAATCAAATTAAAAATCACTACTATGATTACAAAACTCTCACAATTTGTATTTACAGAAACTGTGAAAATTAAAATAACTATAAAAACGTTTTTCAAAAATAAAATAATTTTTAAAATTTAAATTTATAAAAAATGTTGTAAAAGTTCCAAAATTTAATTAATTATCACCTAACTTAAATAATAATTAACTAAATAGTCCTAAAAATAACGCATGTATTGATCCTAGGTTAGATTTTCTTACTTTTAATTATATATAGATATAGACAGATAACAAACAATTTAAATATAATTATGTAAATAATCTAATTAGAAAATCTCCATGTTAATTGTGTAAACCAAATACTATTATAATTAGAAAACATCCAAGTTTATTTTCCACAAGTTTCCCTTTTCCTTATCCTTTTCAAATTTGATTTTGATACCTATAAATATAGGCTATAGCACACCCCCTGAACCTGAAGGAACATTAACGTTTTCTTCTTTGTATTGTTCAATGGCGAAATCAAGAATTATAACAAAGACAGATTTGAAAAGAATGGATGAGCAACTTGAGAGGCATTTAGATAAACTATTTAGCAAGGGTTGTGACGAGTCCAAAAAGTTGGAAGTGACGAAGAAACAAGAATGGGAATTGGATCCTACGAAACTTAAAGTTAACGTCAATAATCTTATTGCTGAAGGGGCATACGGATCAGTTTACAAAGGTGTTTATAATGGACAACAAGTTGCAGGTATGTATTACCACTAATTCTACCATTAATCTTTTTTCTTATATTAGCTAGTTACTTGATTCTAATTAATGTCTGCGCTAAACCCTAATTAATAATGTAGCTACTTTTTTCTTTCTTTCTTATACTGCTAAACCCTATATATATATATATATATATATATATATATATATATACATAATAATCGCTTTGGCTATTTTTTTTAATCTCAACTAATCTAACTGTTTAACTACTATATATATTATTAGGGTTAGGTTTGTAAAGTTATCAAAGATTTAATTTTTACCGTCAAACTAATGAAAAAGGAAAAAAATATGACAAATTTGTAACTTTTACAGTGAAAAGGATATTATTTGAAATTGTTAAGCTGTCAACGATCTTTCAATTAACCCTAATAATATTAGTCTATATACGAAAAACCCTAGAATATACCATTTGATTCTTCCACGTCTGTAATGTTCATATACAGAAATTCATACATTTCCGATAGTTAATAATATATATGTTCACCTTTTTTTTTTTTACAATTCTTTCTGACATAATTTTTTTAATTAATTTTCAGTAAAAATACTTGATTTGAGCAATGAAAAGAGAAGGGATGTACTAACAAACGCTTTCACGCAAGAAGTTTCTATATGGTACAACCTACATCACGCAAACATCGCAAAGGTAATTAATTTTTGTTCATTTTGTTTTTTCTCACTTGATTTAACTTATTGCATACATTTAAATATATATGTTTTTCATGTCATCTAACAAGTGTCAAACCTTTCTTCAGTTAATCGGAGCTTCAAAAAGATTGCCCCAATTGATTAAACCCGAATCTACAAGTGGTAAACCATGGTTGAAAAAATGGATTAATGAGCTGACCAATCGCACCCGATGGTCGAGATATCGTTCATTAGAAAAACAACCATCACTGGAATATGGTATCGTGGTTGAATATGTCCCTGGAGGTACTCTCAGATCACACCTCTTAAAAAATCATATCAAAAAGTTGCCATTGAATTCTGTTATTCAACTAGCATTAGATGTTGCAAGAGGGTTGAGTTACCTTCATTCTAAGAAAATTGTTCACAGAGATGTAAAGACTAGTAATTTAGTTATGGACAAGGATGGAAGGGTCAAAATAATTGACTTTGGAGTTTCTCGAATTGAGGCTTCATGTCCTCTTGACATGACTGCCCAAATTGGCACCATCGGTTACATGGCTCCTGAGGTGACATATCTCATTCTGAATCTTTTTTTATTTACAAAAAGGAAAAAAATGAATTCTCTATTACTTATATTAATGTTGTTGTCTTATTTTGTATATGCAGGTACTTATTGGTCTACCATATGATCATAAATGTGATGTCTATAGTTTTGGAATTTGTTTGTGGGAGATATATTGTTGTTCAATTCCATATAATGGAAATATTCCTTCTTCTCACACAAGTCCATGTATTTACAAGGTATGTTTTCAAATTTTATGTTATATTCTTTATAGCTAACGTTAAAATAATATATCAATCACTAATATATTTCTTGAAATTTTAGAGTCTAAGGCCGGAAATACCAAACAAATGTCCAAGTGTTGTGGCCAATATAATGAAGCAATGTTGGCATGCAGACCCAAAAGAGAGGCCAGAAATGAAGGAGGTGGTGCTCATGTTGGAAGCCATTGACACATCTCAAGTTGCAGAAAAGGGTTGTTTTGGCTTTCATTAGTGATTAGACCGAAAGGATTAAAATGTACAATAGATTAACTTTGGTCATAGAAGCTTGTATAGATAGGTTTAGGACAATTCTTTTATTTTGTTTTATTTTTTGAGAAATCATTCTTTTGGTACATTTTGCATATCAAGATTCAAAAATCTTCTTTACTTTCTTAAATTTTATGCAAAGACAAGACAAGACAATCAAATTGAAACAGAAGTCGTAGATGCAATCTAGCAAAACACTACGGAGAGGGGATGGGATGGGATGGGGAGTGAGGGTTTGAAGGTGGGATGATCAAAGGGTGGAGGCTGGAATCGTTGGATGAATGGAGAGGGACAATGATCCTAGAAAAAATATTTTTGACCAACCAAATATGAAAATATTGAAAAAAACATTTTCTTTCATCCATACCAAACACACCCTACTTTGGACTCAAAAGTCCATTCATTATCGTTACATAGGCAAAAACACACTTCTATAGAATTGAAAGATCTATTAGATAATCAAATATCGGCTTTAGACTATCTCTGACCTTGAATAAAAAAAATTCAAGTACTTTTCTTGCATAATCCCAGATAAACCAACGTTTAGGAGGCTTGTTTGGGAAGTACAGAGCCCCTCCATCTTTTCTTCTGCAAATAATTCTAGAGGTGAAACATAGTCGCAGAACAAATTTTGAATATGAAAAAGACAAGTTCTATAGGATCCTAACTGAATTGGTTCATTTGATAAACTATCAAGCGGGAAGCAGCAGTAAAAACTGCTGCCTTAACCAAAAGGACGTGAAGAAGTTGTTTCTTCATTAAGCTAGAGCTTTCACTTATTTTGTTCGCTCCAATGCAAACATGTGAAACTGTTTTTAGCAGAAGGAAAACTGCCACAAATCGAGAGAGGGGGAGGGGGGAACTGGTGATCCATAGATACCTTCCATCTTTGAAATGGACATGGCTGCAGCTTCTGGTTTTAGGGGCTACTCGCTTCAGCAGATGGTCAATATCGATGCATCACCCAAATCTTCGGTTTTTTTCCCCTTGGTGATTGTTCAATTATGGTTTCTGTACAATGTATATATTTCCCAGGGAAGTCTAGTGTATTTCTCCTTCCCATTGGATGGGTCAATATCAGTTCTACTAAATCCTCTGCCTGTTTATGGTTGATGCGTGACTGACAACAGTATCCAACTTTACAGCTATGCAAGGCAGGCATGTCATGACCTTTGGTGATTAGCAGTTCCTAGTCTATGCTGAAAAACTGCTAGTGGATTTCTTTGAGCAAGAGTAGTTACCTGTACACAGTAGCAATCCCAAAAATATCAATCATTCTCACTCGCATTCTTGAATTCTTCCTCGAGTATTCTGTGGATTTTCATCCTCAAACAAGAGGCTTCTTCAGGTTTGAACCACCTTCTTCCAAACTGACAATAGGATCATTTTAAATCGACGACTGATGCAATTGTTCAACAACCAAAAATTGGAGAAAGCAATAAATAAAACAAAAGTTATACCATGGTGAAATCCTTCTTTTTAAGCCTTCTATGAACTTCGTCAATGAAACGCTCCATAAAGAAAAGAACAAACAGACCGCAGTCATACTCATTTCTTTGTTGTGGGACCTGTTACCAGAAAATTTCAAGGAAAGTGGTTTCCGTGAACTTGCAAACATAGTCACAATATATGTAGACAAGTTTGCTTCTATAGGTTTCATAAATTTCTCAAATGGAATATCCAGAACTGAGTCAATGTTTTAGACACCCTCCCCCAGTTGATTATAAGTTTTATTAGGATAACCTTTTAACCAAGAAAAAACATGAAAAGAGAGACGAAAAAAAAAAGGAAAAACAGAGCCAGTATGGTAAAATTTGGAACTTTATGACAGCCTAAGTCCATAAAACAGATGATCATCAAACTAAGCAACACCAATTGATGTTTTCCACTACTAGAGAAACCACTTCTTTTCACACAATCAGCAAATGGTATATACATCACTATAGCTGAAAAGAAACTGTTGAGAATACAATTAAATGATATAAGTGTGCTCTCTCTAATAGGTTTAAGCTTTTAGATGAAATTGTTGCACACTTCATCATGGTATTAGAGCATATAGAGGTCCTGAGATAGAATTCCACCACCACCCATATTAAAAAATATGAGATGGTCACACACTTCAGATGAAACTATCTACAAACTCCAAGCATGCCCCAGGTTATGAGAAAACAAATTGAGAATTTTACACAAATCCCAAGTGTTAAAGAGTTAGTTACATCCTATCCCTACTTTTTCAAATTACAAAAATCCCTTCAATTTGGTGGAATCCGGATACATCCCAAAACGTCCCGATTTCGGATACACCTCTCAACTATCCGATACGTTGCATCTCGGTTTTGGATAAAGTGATGTATCCGACTTCAAATTACAAAAATCCCTTAAATTTGGTGGAATCCAGATACATCCCAAACCGTCCCGATACATCGCGTTTCGGTTTCAGATACATCTCTCAACGTCCCGATACATCGCATCTCGATTTCGGATACATCACTCAACGTCCTGATACATCACTCAACATCCTGATACATCTCATACATCCCGATATATCGCGTAAAGTGATGTATCTGACTGATATATCACATAAAGTGATGTATCCAAGAATAGGAGAGAGTAAGAATTTTTGTAATTTTATCAAATGGTAGGAAATTTTAGAGAATATAGTAAAATAAGTTGTGTATTTAAGTAATTTTTCCAAGCAAATTCCCAAAACAAAAGCTCACATCCTATATCAGCCAAACCAAACTCCCTGTATCACAAGGTATTTGAATGGACAAGATAGCTTCTGGTATGAAAAGAATTCCAAAGACTGCTTCATGCCATAAGTTGCAAATGAAAGAATACCTGAATGATGTTTTCATCAATTCTTCGTGGAAGATTTTCCCATATTTTGTCTGAAATAGGAAGAGCTGGCACTTCTCCTTGTCTTAAGAATTTCCATTCTTCTACCAAAAATCTGCAGGAAAAGTCTCCAGGTTTAAGAGGCTTCCAGTTCAAAATGTTATCTTACCGCAAGTTTGAAGAGAAAATTAGTTATAATAGAGTAAGCCTCAAGATTGTAATATTCAGATTATGAAGCTACAATATTGTAAAATGACCAAAAAGCCGCAATCGAAAACATCCAAACAATAAATATATAACTTAAGTACGAAAACCTGAAAGAGACCAGACTTCTTAACCCTGTCAATTTCTCATTCAACAAGACAAAGTAGTAAGCAATATTGACTTTTCTGTTGAGGCATTCCAGATCTCAACAGCAAACTATTTTCTCCCTTAGGCATATTGAATGGAAATGAATTAGCACGGATATAGCCATGCAAGAATTCCCATTTGGTATTGGGGTCTTTCCCTCCTAACCTCCCAAGTGTCACTAATTTTACCATGCAAATTGATCAGCCTGATAAAGTTCCCATTTCTGTCCAGCACAAGTATGATAACAGAACTCTAATTTCTGCCCCTTTAGTTCTCAAGCTGTTACAATTCATGCTGTAATTAGTTATCATTTCTATATTGTAGCATATCATAAACAAGAACAATATAGCACAAGAAATTTTGAATGGTCAAGTTATAGCTTATACAATCCCTATGTTCAGAAATAATGTCAAAATGGTTCTGGCATATACAATTTTTTTTTTATGACAAGGGAAGCCCGCAACCGGTACCCTTTGGGTGCGCACAGGGCAAAAACCCCGCTCCTATGCAGTAACTCGCAAACCACACAAGAGAGGTAACCCGCACTAGGCACGCACAGACCCAGAAGGCAAACCGATTGCTTAGGCTGGCAAGGGGTTTCAAACTTGAAACCTCTAGCATGGAAGTCCCAAGCCCAAACCACTGGACCACCCCGCTGGCAAGGGGTTCTGGCATATGCATTATTATCATGACAACGGTGTAGTTATGGCAAATCAGAAACAAGATGTAGCTGCAGTCATTAATTATAACAACTCTGAATCAAAACTACAATTTACAAGAAATAAATTCTGTAGCATGGATGTCACGTTATTTAAAAGCCAACGACAGAGTTCAGCTTACTTTCTTATGGTAGCAAAAAGGGACTTGCTGCAGTGAAGCCCTAATGAATCCAAGTGAAGTAAAATTGGCCCCAGTTGATCTTCTTTATCTGGTATGCAAATTACAACCAGGCTCCAATGAAGACTACAAAGGAGAAGAACCAACACAAGGACATCAATAGCAACTCAACAGAAATAGTGCAAGAGGACAAAGAGTTATGTAAATGCACCAAAACTGACAAAAATAACTTGGAGTGAAGTCAATGAACTCCTAGGCCAACTACCAATAGAAAGGATATCTAAGTTTCATTTTTTTTTTAATTATTATTATTCCATTTTGTGAAAAAATTATGATCTCTTAGTTAGTCATTAACAAAAGATAGAAAAGGTAAATAAATCACCGGAATTTACCACTTGTATAGAGTTCTCTTTCTATCATCAATAAAACTATTATAACTCAACAAAAAAAGTAGTTCCCTATTCCCTATTCAGTGATCTCCTTATGTTGTTGGGGGTGGAAGGGGACATGAGCAATGACTTTGCTAACAAGGACTACCAGCTGAACTGGTCAATGTGGGTAGGCTGGTTGACCTGCGTATGTAGCACCTACATAGATTGAGATGTGACTGCTGACAAGTACAACCACCCAAGATAGAAACCTGGTAGGTGTGAAGTGGAGACTTTAAGTCGTGTGAGTGGGCAAGTAGAGATGATTTTAAGAATGAAATTTTCACCAGCCTGTCTGTCTTGATACAGAGTTCCTACCTAGGACAATCAGTTGATATGACGACGGAGAAGAACCGCCAGCACACCATACCATGTTTTGATAAAGGCTTTCTTGAGGCATGCTTAAACCTTTAAGCTAGGTGAAAGGATGTATTAAGTGGGTTCCACGCAGGGAAAGATGTATTAAGGCGGCAAGGTAATAACAGTGGTGCTTTATGGTGAATGCAGCCTATCGACTGATGAACCAGTCTAATCAGCAGATTGATAATTTGCGTTGGAAGCATATTTGGAGAACTAATATTCCACACAAAGTAGCTTGTTTAGAGTGGCTTTTGGCAAAGGAAGTTGTCCTCACACAGGACAATTTAATGAGAAGAAAGATCACAATGTGCTCCTTATGCTTTCTATGTGGAGTTAAGGCAGAGATAGTCAGTTAACCATCTATTCCTACATTGCTAGGTGACAGAATGGGGAATTTTCATTAATTTTAAAAGCATATCCTGGATTATGCCCGGGAAGATTACAGAAGCTCTATAGAGTTGGGAGGAAGCAGGATTAATGGCAAAGAACACGAGTAGATGGAGGATGGCCCCTGAATTTGGAAGGAAAGAAATTTAAGATGCTTTGAGGATACAGAGAACTGTTTTTTTCATCGGGTAAATATATTTTCAATTATATACATGGCCAAAATGCCATATACAAGGGGTAAAACAAAAGGTAAAGAATCTATAAAATGATACTATGCTCTACAAACTCCACCCAATCATTCTATACAACAAGGAACTTTATGTGAGCACCAAAAAAATACAAGGGAACGGAGACTGCTCCTCAACTGGGAGAAACTAGACTCTACTCCTTCAAAACCTCTACTATTTCTCTCTCCAAACATTTCACATTAACGCAAGTGGAACCACATTCCTAGCCCTTTCCTTCTGCTTCCGGTCCTCCAGCTAAACATCAACTCTCTCACAATTTTTGACATTGCCCACGGAGTTTAACCACCTAAAGACGTTCCCACCATAACTCATGGTTAGCCCGCAATGTATAAGAAGAAGATCCACATCCTCACCTGTCTTCTTACACATGTAACACCAACTGACGCAAACAACATTTTGCTTTCTAAGATTTTCTGCTATCAAAATCACCCTTCTTGCAGCTAGTCAAGTGAAAAAACACACCTTACATGGCACCTTTGGTATCCTTGTTGCATTACATGGAAAAACATTCTCCTCTCTAACCAATGGTTTCTCATAGAAGGACTTCACAGAGAACACGCCATCGTTCCCCAAGCCCCACCACCAATCGTCTGGTTCATCACCGGATTCAAGAACTTCCCAATCTTGAAATTCCCTTCTAAATCTCAAGTCCCAAAAAACCTCCACCGTGTGTCCCCTTAATATGTTGTATTGTCGAATTTCTTTGGTAAGATACTCCGTATCTCTGAAATTCATCTTTCAATAATATGTCTCCACACCATTTATGCCCCCAATAGTTTACTCTTCTTCCATCTCGGACCTTGACTGAGATATTTTCCAAAGCATAATCCCATTCCTCCATGATATTCCTCCACAAACCACAACCGAAACACAAAGTGGTATCTCTAAGTGAGACATTGATATTGTCCCTCACCCCTAACCGCAACAAAATCAAGCCCCTCAAGTAACCCCGCAAGACAGCTATATCCATCATCCTGCTTAAAGCTTCCATAACTAGAATAAACAGCATTGGTGACAGGAAATCTCACTGAAGAGATGCAAAAATAAATTCATTTCCTTTAATTTTCCTTAAGTTCCATTTGAAGCATAATGGAATCTAGGAATTTTCAGTTAACATGACCCTAGGCCTTTTCACGATCAAGTTTGCACAACACACCTACCACTCCTTGCTTTCTCCTTCAATCCACTACTTTGTTTCCCACCAACGCTGCATCTAGAATTTGTCTACCCTCCACAAAACATTCTGCGAAGTAGAGACAGTATCGTCTAACACCTTCTTAAGTTTAATAGAAATCACCTTAGAGATGATCTTATAGATGCTTGCCACTATACTAATAAGTCTATAGTCCTTCATGCTCGTAGCTCCTTCCCTTTGGGACGATGACAACGAATGAAGCAGTCATAGTTTTCTCGAATTCCCCTCTTTCATGAAACTCAACAATAGTATCCATCACATCAGTTTTAACTGTCTTCCAAATAGAAACCATCGAGTTCCGATGCTTTATCACCCGCAAAACAACCCACCACCCTTTTCATTTCCTCCTCAATTGCTCTTTCTAGCCACACGTCGGAGATATGATTTAGGTAATGGAACATGAAGATGTGTGAACAACCCTACATCAGCTGAATTCCTTGGGTGGGGTTGCACAAGGGTTCTTATTATGCTGGTGGTACTGTGGTATATACATAGTACTCCTGGAGAACCAAGAAACCTCCGAACAGCACTAACTGCTAAGTTTCCAAAAACATTGTTCAGCAACAGGATTTCTCTTCGACAATTACTATTTCCTTACTAACTGCATTGACTCAGTCTCACTTATGTTGCTCCCTCAACTAATTGGGGTTAAATGGTACAGTACGTGTCCTAAGAAAAGAACGAAATCAATATAATTACATGATTACAAAGAATGAATCACTCCAATTGATCCTAAATCATATGCATAAGAATTATAAGATCCTAATACAAACTGTTAAATTAGGTCTTGGGCCTAACTCACACCCCAAAAGCTAGCTCAAAGGCAGGAGGATTGCTCAAACCTTATAAGGAGTCCACCCATCTCATTAACCATTAACCATCAATGTGGGACTTTTGCCATTCTTCAACACAAACAAACCAAATAAAAAAGCTACAAATATAGCATACTTGAATTAAATCTTTGTAAATCAAACCATGGTAAAGGAACCACACAACTTACTCTTCATGTATGGGAAGAAATATATAGGCTTTCTCAAATATATTCACCCCTTTCCACCACCTTCTTAGTCTGACAAATGAAGCTTCCTTTTCATTCTGCTGTAGAGAATTAGGAATTGGATTCAGATTTACTGATATTCGAAAGATTGATACACTGCAAGAACTAGGAAAGAAAATATAGATAGTATCAAATAGTTCCTGAGTGTTCAGCATATATTCCATCAGAAAATCAAGTACAAATGGCATAGTCATCTGCAACTTTACATTATGTCTTCAAAGCATCCATACTGCATATGAAGACATAATTAACGAAATAAAAATGTGTTTTCTCTAAAGCTTAAGCACATTTCAACATGGTATCAGAATAGCAAATATCTTGGGTTCAAGTCTCACTGCAACACATTATCAAAAGATTTCCACGTGTTTGGCCCATGAAAAAAGAATGAGGTCCGCACATGAAAAGTTTGTTGAGAGATAATTAATTATGTAAAAGAGTGCTCTCTCCAACAGTTTGAGCATTTAGATGAGATGGTTGCATACTTCAACAAAGATAATATAAAGACAATAAATATTAGGAGAAAGACTAATACACCAACAATCAATCAGAGTTTAAGAGTCTAAGTACCTTTTACAGGGTCATTTTACCTTAAATATTCAATCTTTTTCAGAATAAATAAATAAAGACGAGGCTGATGCTCTCTTCTCCATGTTTTATTTGGAAAATGGGTAATGTTGTATTCCTCAGCATTAAGGAGATGCTGGGGACCTTCAAAAGAAGATACAGAAAACTGAATACTTACAGGGATCCTAATAATTCTACGAGCTGTTCTGAATCCTCTAAACCAATCTCTTTACACCATAAAAAGAGAGATACAAAACAATTCCTCTAACGCTCTCTTCGCCACATTTGCCCATTAAAAAGAAGCTTCAAACAAGACTCAGTACTTTTGAGATCCATCTACCAAGCTCAGTATTGATCTATAATCAAGTGACTCTCCCTATATCTGCTAAAAATCAGGTTTTGTGTAGGGCCGATCCAGCAACAGCTTAATCAGAAATGAACAAATGTACCAGCCTACCAAGCATACAACTTACATATTTACTTGGACAATATAATATTTGATATATTGAACAGGTTCAAGCAAAAACTTGAAAGAAAAAATTACTCATGCAATGTGTATTTCTAGGAAAGATGTAGTAATTTACATTAGTTCTGTTTTAATAAATATGATTTGAATAATATTTTCATTAATTAACAATTTGTTTACTTATTTAAATGTCGATTCACTTACAAAAGATCATGTGTACGCTATTGTTCACACACCACTAGTCGAGCTATACTTGGTAACCAAGTTCATGTAACATAGTTATTAATATGAAAATTAGAAAAGATAAGCTTAGTTAACTTGCATGAAATTTTTTTCTCTCAGAGGGAAGATAATACCTTGCTCAGTACAGCCTCTTTGAGCTTCTGGTAAAAATATGTATTGAAAAAGTGATACTCATCGACATCTGCATGAGGTTTTGTCTTCTGGAGGTACCTGACAACAAAACAATGCAATTAGGGTATAGCAGATAGAGAAAGTCGGTACAAATTTCATCTTGCTCCTACTAGCAACCAGTGTTATCAAAGGCAAAAAGCGCAAAAAAGCTCTAAGGTCCATGGGGGCTTTAAGCGCAAATAAAAAGTGGGTTTAATGAAAAAAAGGCGTAAAGGGAGAAAAAAATACAATATAAAGTGAAATATCAATTGTTTAGTGTCACTTCTTCATAAGAGGCTCATTGACAAGGAAAAGTTTGCCTTAGAACCTGGATGACGACACTGAAGCGCACATAAAGCGAGGCGAAACACTCAACACATAACACATTTTGAGCCTCGCTTCAAGGCTTAAGCGTGCCTTTGATAACACTGCTAGCAACACTATGGAAACTATTTGACCACCAATCTTTTAATTTACTGGTTACTAAAATAAGGTTGACACAGTTGGTGAGTTAAGGTTATGTTCCATTGATAGAGAAGTTCCGGCCGTAATGTAATATCACGCTAACATGAGGATTTATATGCCAGTTGACGTGACTTTTATCTTTGTGTGATTATTTAATGACTCCAATGGTCGAACCAATTGAAGAAAGATCATATGAGGGTAACAATATCAAGCAGAAGTTACCAAGACCTCAATAGTAGAAAGTATTTAAAAGAATTTTTTTTTACATACAATTGGTATTTGTTGTCACCTAATAGGAGGAGTTGCAAGCCAAGGTTGTTGGGCTTCAATTGGAAAACAAAAAGATCCTTTCTCGAGGGACCTTTGTGTGTGCGCACCAATCAAATTTTGTGATTACCATGAACGGTGAAGCAAGGTAATGGCACCACCAACTTTCGGTGGAGAAAGTTATCAAATATGGGCTGTTAGAATGCAGGCATATCGGGAAGCTTTAGATCTCTATGAGGCTGTAGAAAATGAATACGAGATTGCTCCCTTGCCAAACAATCCCACGATGGCACAGATTAAAGATCACCAGGAAAGAAAAATCAGGAAATCAAAGGCAAAGGAATGCTTATTTGCTGCAGTTTCATCCCTTGTCTTCACTCGTATCATGTCTCTGAAGTCAGCATAAGAGGTATGGGGTTATCTCAAGACTGAGTATGAAGGAGATGAAAGGATCTGAGGGATGCAAGTGTTGAATTTGGTATGTGAGTTTGAGCTGTAAAAGATGATGGAAAGTGAAACCATAAAGGAGTACTCTGATACAAGTTAGCAAAAGGAGAACTAATCGATAACTAATCGCTGATGTGGCAAATTCTGTTAACAAGTCCAGAAGTTAGCTAGAACAGTTAGCACTGTTAGATGGTTAAATTTTGTTATTACAGTAGCTATGGATTTTAACTGTTTTAGCAATCTCTAGAAGCCTATAAAAGGATTGTATTGGATCATTGACATTCATTCATTTGATTGATAATAAGATTGTTTTCTTTTCTCTATATTTCTCTCTTTAGCTGAATTCTCGATTTTAATCCCTGAACTAGCTGTTCATATTCCTCGAGATTACTCCTGCAATTTGTTTCTTCTCTGTAATTGTATCAATTGGTATCAGAGCAAGCAATCCTTAGCATTGATCTGATGACGCGCAGCAAAAGTCAAGAGGAAGCAGAGGACAAGCTTCACCAGATTCAGACCCAGTTACAGAAATTGATGGAAGGAATGTCTATTATGAACGATCGCAATGCACAGGCTGATAAGGAATTGCTAGAAATCAGGGAAGCAATTGGGTATTTGAGTCAGAAGGGGAAAGAAAAGGATCCAGCTAGGGCAGAATCTAATTCTAGTCGAGATTGTTTAGGAGAAACGCTGCAAGGAGCTCGATTCAATGATATGCATACTGGTAATGATCCTAACTACAACAGTACGTTTTTCAATCGTTACTCTAGATTAGAATTCCCTCGTTTTTCTGGTGATGAGTTAAGAAATTGGTTGTACAAAGTTGATCAATTCTTCTCCATGGATGAAATACCTTTTGAGCAGAGGGTGAAGGTGGCTTCTATCCACTTTGAAGGTGAAGCTATGGCATGGCACAGGTCCTACATTAGGTCTAGAAACTCGGTTTTAGATCCATCTTGGACTGAATTTGGGTTAGCATTGAATGAAAGGTTTGGAGAGGGTTTTGAAGATCCCATGGAAGCCCTAAAGAACTTACAACAAACCAGTAGTGTGAGGGAGTATCAGGCTGAGTTTGATAGGTTATTAACTGGACTTAATCTCTCCAATGAAAATGTCATTAGTTGTTTTTTGGGAGAGGGAGTTGAACAAGTCTATTAGAATACATGCTCCAAAAACTTTGTTCCAAGCCTATAAGGTAGCTAGGTTGCAAGAGGAGGTGTTTGAAGCTCAAGCTCAATCTTGGGGAATCAAATCTTTTCCTAAAGTCCAAGGTCCTATATTACCCACACCTGACCCTATTAAACCTTAGTATTCACAAAGAAATTCTTATTCCAATTCCACGTTCATGAAACCCCTTGAATCTGCACCTAATAGGATTAATAGATTCCCTAATAATGGTGTTACTAAAAGGCTATTGGCAGCAGAGATGGATGAAAGGAGATCCAAAGGGTTGTGTTTCTTTTGTGATGAAAAATATGTGAAGGGACATAACTGCAGGGGAAGGAAGCAACTGTATCTGGTCGAAGTAGTTGAGGAAGAAGAATTAAATGTTTAAGTAGAAGAGGAACAGATAGAAGAGGTGTGGGAGAAGACGGATGAATTTATGGCCATATCATTACAGGCTTTTACAGGGGTCACTGGTTATCAAACCATAAAAGTAATAGGATACCATGAAAAACAACCACCCCAAGTCTTGATTGATACTCGGAGCACTCACAACTTTATAGATAAACAAATGGCTGCAAAGTTGGGTTGTCAGACTAGCTCTATTCAGGAATAATCTATAAGTGTGGTTGATGGTAGAGAAGTGCAAAGCGCTGCTATTTGCAAGAATCTTCACTGGCTACTACAAGGCACCACATTCTCTTATGATTTTTTGCTTTTACCATTGGGAAATGTGGATATAGTCTTAGGAGTACAATGGTTGAATACATTGGGCAGAATTTTGTTTGATTTTAAACATAGGTCCATTGAGTTTGTTTACAAGGGAAAAAAACATGTATTAAGAGGGGCTAGCACTGGTCTGAAGTCTGTTAAAGCTAATACCTTAGCTAAGGAGGGGCAGTTGTTCATGTTGTCACATGTACCTCAGACAGTAGAAGTCTCGCAATGTCACAACATTCAAGCCATTCAAGGTGAGGGAATTTTGCCATCATTTGGAGTACTTATTTGAATTGCCAACTACATTACCACCTCACAGAGGTTCTTTTGATCATAGAATTCCCTTCATTGACAAAGTAAATCATGTTAACAAGAGACCCTATAGGTATCCGGGAATTAAAAAAGATGTCATTGAAAAATCAGTACAAGAGATGCTGGATCAAGGTGTGGTGCAACATAGTACTAGCCCTTATGCTTCTCCAGTAGTGTTAGTTGGTAAGAAAGATGGAAGTTGGAGACTCTGTGTTGATTACAGAGATTTGAATCTGATGACAATTAAGGATAAGTTTCTGACACCTATCATTGAAGACTTATTGGATGAGTTAGGTGGAGCTGTGATTTTTTCTAAAATTGATCTCAGGGCAGGTTATCATCAATTAAGAATGGCTGAAGAGGATGCTTACAAAACAACTTTTGAAACTCATGAAGGTCACTATGAATTTTTGGTTATGCCCTTTGGCTTAACCAATGCACCTTCATCATTTCAGAGTTTGATGAATGAATGCAGTCTTTAAATCATTGTTGAGGAAATCAGTATTGGTATTCTTTGATGATATTCTGATTTATAGCAATGATATTAATGCTCATTTAGTTTACGTGGAAGTTGTATTTGATTTGATGAAACAATATCAGTTGTATGCAAAGATGTCAAAGTGAGCTTTTGCAGTGGATAAGGTGGAATATCTAGGGCATTTTATTAGTGCTGAGGGGGTGTCAACTGATCCCAAAAATATTACGGCTGTGCAACATTGGCCAATACCAACTAATATCAAACTATTGAGAGGATTCTTGGGGATTGCAGGATACTACAGGAGATTCATCCAAGGATTTGGAAGCATATGTAGACCATTGCATGACTTATAAAAGAAGGAAGGGTTTGTGTGGACAGGTGATGCGACTACAGCTTTTGAGACACTGAAACAAGCTTTGATTTCTGCCCCAGTACTTGCTATGCCAGATTTTTCCTTGTAGTGAAGACAGATGCTAGTGGTAGAGGTATTGGAGCTGTGCTAATGCAACAGGGACACCCTATTGCCTATATTAGTAAATCCTTGGCACCAAGGCACCAGGCCTTGTCAGTGTATGATAAGGAGTTATTGGCACTTATTTTTGTTGTCACTAAGTGGTCTCACTACCTGTTGGGCAGATCCTTTGTGGTGAGGAGAGATCAAAAGGCTTTGAAACATTTACTCAACCAACATATGCATACAGACTTTCAGGTGGCTGGCATAACAAAGTTGATGGCTTTTGATTTTTCCATAGAGTACAAGAAGGGCTCTGGGAATAAGGCTGTTGATGCCTTATCCAGGAAGCCTGATGCTGAGCTATTAGCTATTTCACTTCTTACTCCTAACGATACGTTGTACCAACAGATCAAGGACACTTGGACACAAGATGCTACATTGCGAGAGTTGATTGTTAAGTTGCAGGTTCAACCTTTCAAGTACTTTACTTGGTGCAATGACCAACTCAGATGGAAGGGTAGACTAGTAGTTGGACATGATACGCAGTTGAGGAATACCATCATTACACTATGGCACTCTACTCCTCAAGGTGGGCATTCTGGAATGGATGCAACTATTCGAAGAATTCAATCATTATTTTATTGGAAGTCTCTTGTTCAGGATATTAGAAACTTTATCCATAAGTGTGATGTTTGCCAACGGCACAAGTATGATGTTGCTACTTACCCAGGGTTGTTACAACCTCTGCCCATTCCT